CTGTAATATTTTTTCAGATTAATCTCTCAGCTCACCCTGTCTGTGGCAGCTCCTGCCGCTGATCCTCCTCCAAACTTTCCTCCAGCTCCGCCGGAGCCTGCCTCCTCTGCTGCCCATGGAGGAGTCGCTCTCCTCGGCTGGAACCTCCGGAACCTCCGCCTCCTCTTCCTCTTCCTCCTCCTCCTCCGGTTCGTCCTCTCGGTCGAGGACTCCGGCAGCCAGCAGCCGCTCCAGGACGGACTCGTCCACCCTCAGCTCGGCTCGGACGCTGCCCTCGGCGGCGGTGAGGACCGTGGGGTGTCGGCACAGCGGGCAGCGGATGACGAGACTGTCTGCGGCCGGAGGCGAGCCGTCACCGGGGCCCGGGGCTCGGCTCAGGAGCCGGAGGCAGCTCTCACAGAAGCTGTGTATGCAGTGCAGCTCCCGGGGGCAGCGGCGACCCGCGTTGTAGGTCCTGTAACAAACTCCGCAGTCGAACTCTGAGCACATGTTCGGCTTCTTTCGGCTCTTCTCGCTCAGTGAAAAGTTTTGAACCGGACTCTAAGCTTGAGCTCGTTTTATAGAACAGGAGGAGGAACTTTGAAAAGTTAAAACAACAACATGAGTCATGAAGAGGTGATGTAATGAAACCGGAGGAAACCCGGGTGTGTGTGCGTGTGTGTGTGTGTGTGACACACCTTCACACACTTCAAACGTGTTTGTCTGCAACACTTCCTCTTCTATCTATAAATAAGTTTCCAACTTTGGCAGGCTGGTCTTCTGTAAATGCAGATGAATATATGGCAGGCCGTTTTAACATAAAATACATAAAAGAAGCAAAAGGAAAAAAAAATTGTATAAGTCTTCTGGACGGGTTCTTCTCTAATGAAACGTTTCGTCTCTCCTCCAAGAGACTTCTTCAGTCTGAGAGTTTCAGGCAAAATTCAGGCTTTTAAGYMCTGCCTCCAKGTGACTGATACTCACATCACATGGCTATCGTTGACACCTAATTAACACYTATTGTTAACAGGGGGTGGAGTGATACTGCCAATGGCAGCGCTGTAGGAGGGGGACAACTGAAAACGGAGGCCTCCACCTCTGTTTAATGATGGACGGTCTTTCTTCACAAAAATGGCTTCTTTTACTCCTCTCTCAAACCAACGTTCCTCTCTATCAAGAATGAGAACATCCTCATCTCTGAAAGAGTGACCGCTGGCCTGTAAATGAGTGAAAACTGCAGAGTTCTGGCCATTAGATGTAGCTCGTCTGTGTTGGGACATTCTTTTGAACAGTGGCTGCTTTGTTTCCCCGATGTATAACTGGTCACAGTCCTCCTGGCACTTAACAGCATATACAACATTGCTCTGTTTGTGCCGGGGCACCGGATCTTTGGGGTGAACCAGCCTTTGCCGTAATGTGTTTTGGGGTTTGAAAGCCACTGGGACATCATGTTTAGAAAATAAACGTCTCAGTTTCTCCGAAACACCCGCAACATACAGAATAAGCACTGGTTTGGGTCTGGGTTTGGGGTCTTCAATTTCACCTGAAGGTTGCATGGAATCCTGTCTGTGTTTCCTGTCTGCTTTCAGGAAAGCCCAGTCAGGAAAGCAGACAGGAAACACAGACAGGATTCCATGCAACCTTCAGGTGAAAATGAAGACCGCAAACCCAGACCCAAACCAGTGGTTATTCCGTATGTTGCGGGTGTTTCGGAGAAACTGAGATGTTTATTTTCTAAACATGATGTCCCAGTGGCTTTCAAACCCCAAAACACATTACGGCAAAGGCTGGTTCACCCCAAAGATCCGGTGCCCCGGCACAAACAGAGCAATATTGTATATGCTGTTAAGTGCCAGGAGGACCGCGACCAGTTATACATCGGGGAAACAAAGCAACCACTGTTCAAAAGAATGTCCCAACACAGACGAGCTACATCTAATGGCCAGAACTCTGCAGTTTTCACTCATTTACAGGCCAGCGGTCACTCTTTCAGAGATGAGGATGTTCTCATTCTTGATAGGGAGGAACGTTGGTTTGAGAGAGGAGTAAAAGAAGCCATTTTTGTGAAGAAAGACCGTCCATCATTAAACAGAGGTGGAGGCCTCCGTTTTCAGTTGTCCCCCTCCTACAACGCTGCCATTGGCAGTATCACTCCACCCCCTGTTAACAATAGGTGTTAATTAGGTGTCAACGATAGCCATGTGATGTGAGTATCAGTCACATGGAGGCAGTGCTTAAAAGCCTGAATTTTGCCTGAAACTCTCAGACTGAAGAAGTCTCTTGGAGGAGAGAYGAAACGTTTCATTAGAGAAGAACCCGTCCAGAAGACCTATACAATTTTTTTCTTTTTGATTTTTTACCTGGATTACTGAGATGCATCAGGAYATAAAATACGCTTTTACCACACAAGTTAATTTCTGTAACTGAGAACAAATAATAATAATAATACTTTTCCAAATTGTTGATTGTGGACAGAAAGAATGGCATGTGGAGAGCTAAAAAAAAACAAATTACACCAAGAAGAACTGAATAATAGATAAATGAGTAATTTGGGGGGGCTCTGACCTCCCTCAGTAATTTGATCCAGTCAGTCTAAAATTTACAATAAAATTGCATCATTTCCTCTAACACAATAGAAATTAACTGGTTAATTTCACAGCAGCAACTCTTGTTTTCTTCAAGTATTATATAACTATTATATAATAAATTGGCTTGCCATATAGACGTACAGCCACAGTTCATAGTTTACAAGAGTTAGCTGTTGTAAACATTCTTTATCAAACAATCATTAATGTTTTTAAATGGAGGATTATTCTTTACCTGCCAGTTTAACAAGTTTGATGCTAAATAAGTATAATTATCTGTAACAGCATGTTTCTTTCATCGATTTGCTCCCTTGTTCTTTTTGAACTCATTGACACTCAGGTGTGTGTGTGTGTGTGTGTGTGTGTGTGTGTGTGTGTGTGTGTGTGTGTGTGTGTGTGTGTGTGTGTGTGCGTACGTGCGTGCGTGCGTGTGTGTGTTCTACAACGTGTTGCAGATTTATTTTTCTAGCCCCTCCCACAAAGGTTAGCCTTTTGTTCATTTGTTTGTCTAAAAAGTTCCCGTCTCTTCCTCCAACCTGACTTTACTGTAACCCCAGCTGATCACACATGGAGCTTGAATGATGGTAAATTTCCCAAAAACAGGAAGAATAGCCAGAACAAGAAACCATAAAGAACTTCTGAGATGCCTTTGGTTGAACGGGAACACTTTAAAGGCCAGAGCGTCATAATCAAAGTTACGTCAGTTCCTCTAAAGGAAAATACTAGAAGTACTGAAGTGTTCAAAAACATTAAGTTGTTTTTTTAATCACTTCAGTAGAAAAAAGAACTTAATATTAGTTTCTTAATTTCTTCATCATCAGTGATTTTTTGTAAGTAAAGAGGAAAAATAGAGAAAGAGGGAAAAACAAAGAGAGAAGTAATTAGAAAGATTGAAATAGCGTTTAGAAGTATATTAAATATACAC